CAAAATTATTGTATTACATTCTCATACCATAATTTTTTTTATCCATTCTTCAATTGATTAGCACCTCCTTAGTTTCCAGTTCTTTGCCACCACAAAATAATTGCTATAAATATTTTGGTATGTATCAGTCCTTTTCACCTTTCTTTGATCTCTTTGAAGTATAGGCCTAGTAATTGTATCACTAGGCCAAAGAGTATGCAGAGTTTAGTAACTTTTTAGACATAATTCCAAATTGCTTCTAGAATGGTTGGGTCAATTCATAGCTCCACCAGTAGTGGATATAATGGTTTGTTGTTTATTTGTTTGTTTTTTAATACTGTTTTCCTACAGCCCTTCCAACATTTGTCATTTTGCCTTTTTTTTTTTTGGTCCAACTTTACCAATATGATGGATATGAGTTGGGTCCTCAGAGTTGTTTTGATTTATATTTTCTAATTATTAGCGATTTGACTCTTTCATATGGCTCTTGATAGTTTGGGTTTCTTATTTTGAGAGCTACTTATTCATGTTCTATTCATGTATGTATTCATTCATGATTCATTTATCATTTGGGGAATGACTCTTATAAATTTGAACCACTTTATATATCTTGGTGATGAAATCTTTATCAGAGAAACCTGCTGTAATTTTCATTGCATTGGTTTTGTTTATGTAAGAGCATTTTAATGTTCTGTAATCAAAATCATCCATTTTATTTTCTTGAGTCTTTCTATTCTATATTTGCTGATGAACTTTTCACTTATTTGTAGACCTGAAAAGGTAATTTCTTCCTTGCTTCTCTAATTTGTTTTATGATGTGATCTTTGATGCGTAAGTCTATCGTGTAAGTCACATAACTACTTGGAAATTATCTTAGTATATTGTGAGATGTTGTTGTTATTGTTGTTGTTCAGTTGTTTCAGTTGTATCCAACTCTTCACAACCACATTTTGGGTTTTCTTGGCAAAGATACTTGAATGGTTTGCCATTTCCTTCTCCAGCTCGTTTTATGGATAAGAAAACTGAGGCAAATAGGGTTAAGTGACTTGCCCAGGGTCACACAGCTAGTAAATGTCTGAGGCAAGGTTTGAATTCAAGTCCTTCTGATTCCAGGGCCAGCACTCTATCTCAACCTAATTTCTGGCAGAATGCTGTCCAGTTTTCCCAGCAGTTTAAGTGACATAAGTGAATTCTTATCCCAATAGATGGGATCTTTTAGTTTATTGAACACTAAGTGTGTTTGCTTCTATTTATTGTACACCAGATCTTTTTCATTGATTGACCTCTGTTTTTACCAGTACCGCATCCTTTTGTTGATTACATGTTTGTAATATAGTTTGAAATCTGGCACTGCTAGGCCTTCTTCCTTCTTACTTTTTCATCATTTTCTTGGATATTCCATTCATAATTTCTCATCTAGACAATAGACATACAATATCGTATCTACACCTTTTTTTAAAGAAAAATTATGGCTTTCTGGATTTCTTGTGAGTCTTAGATTTTCTTTTTTGACCTGTTCTTGATAGTACTTTCCATTTTCTTTTTTAATTCTTTTGTTTTAGGTTCTAGTATTTCTCGTTGTCTTTCTTGTAAGTCATTATTTCTTTTTGGTTCAATATAATTTTCATGAAGTTTGTGTTTAGTTATTTTTCCCAGACTTACTTAGAGAATTAAGACTTTGTGTCAAGGCCCGGATCCAAGCACTCCTGGAAAAAAAAAAATGAGAGGCTCTTGTTTCATGTGATCCACATTATCTGGGGTCCTGCCACAGAAGACTTTGTTCTTTAAGGATATCAGGAGAGGCTCAAGCCAAGGAAACACACTTCTGAAGCAGGCTGAAAAATAATAAGACCTGATGTCCTCTTGGCCTGAGAACCACAGGCTCCCAGTCCTTAGTTCAGAGTCAAAGCAACTCCTTTCCATGCTTAAGGTGTCCCTGGCCAGTCCTTAGTCAGGGCTTTCATCTTCCTGCCACAGAGTAAATCATTACAGGCTCCAGACTTTTCCTGACTTGCTCTTGTTCTGCATTTTTTAAGACTTCAGTGATCTAGGCCTAGGCCCGGCTTTTCTGGTGGGACCCTTTCCCTAGTGCCTGCAGACTTCTGGCTCTCTCTTTATATGGACCTAAACTGGAAGATTATACTTAATGCAGTCTTTTCCTGGATTTCTTGATCATTACTCTGGTGCTTTTTTCATTCTTTGTGAGCAGGGAAGACCTGTGATAGACCTGAGCTTTTCTCGTATTCACTCAGCCAAATTGAGGAGAGAGCTCTGTTCTTTTTCCTAGAATTTCCTTGCTTCATTCTCTTCATTAATTCTCTTAGCATCCTGCCTGTTCTGCAGTTTTACTGTCATGTTCATGATGTAATTCCTTATTCCTTTTAAAAAATATCTTTATATTCTTCATGAAGTTAAATCTTATAAAATGCCTATTTGTACTCTATTCTAAACAGTTGCTGTGTTATTGCTTTTTTAAATCTTGACCCATTTTCCCATTTTTTTTTCCTGTGCTGCCTTACCCCTTTGAAATACCAAATCATGAGGGAAATAATTTGGATGAAAACTGTGCTTTTTGGTAGAAAGTACTCTTATGTCCCAAAATGTGCCATTCATTTCTACTCACTGCCCTTGCTGTGATTGTTCTTCTTCCTATTGTCTGTGCCATGTCATCTTTTGGTCCCTGTCCCATGCAACCCAAGTCTTTTGGGTGCCATTTGCCATTATCCCATCTCATGGAACAGAATGTTGTCCGTGGTGGCACAGCTCTCTCATGAAGTGTGTCCAGTGTACCAGCTCTTTCTTCCCAGAGTAAATCCATCATGAAGTCTAATCCCTAATCTCCTCTATCTAATCAAGAACTCTAACTAATCACGTCTAACCTCAGGCATAAACTTCTCCCATGAAGTATTTTCATGGGACCTTTCCCTTTCATTCCTTCAGTTTTAATTCCTCCCTTCTTCCACCTTCACTTTTCTCTTGAAACCTGTCTTTTTGTAGAGGAGTCATCATCCTTTAACTGTGTTTCCATGGGATTTGATAAGGATACATGAAGTACAGTGCAATTTCTCCTCAGATATATACTAGCCATGTGACGCTGAGCAGCTTACTTTCTCAATCCCAATTTCCTTATCTGTAAAATGGAGATAATAATAGTACTACATCACATAATTATTGCAAGGATCAAATGAGATTACATATGAAGTGCTTTTCAAATCTTAAAACATTATGTAAATGTTAGCTATTATTATTGTTACTGTTATTGTCCATGTCCCCCTATCCTTACACCTCCCATCTTTCCATTTATTTGCTCTTAACTGTGCAGTTTTGCCTCACAGAATAGGAGATTCGCTTGGAGGTGATGGCTTTTTGTTGTTGTTGAGTTGTTTCAGATATGTCCAACTCTTCATGACCCCATTTGGGGTCTTATTGTCAAAGATACTAGAGTGGTTTGCTCTTTCCTTCTCTAGCTCATTTCACAGGTGAGGAAACTGAGGCAAAGAGGATTAAGTGACTTGTGCAGGGTCACACATCTAGTAATTGTCTGAAGCCAGATTTTAATTCAGAAAGATGATTCTTCCTGATTCCAGGCCCAATACTCCATCTACTGCACCACCTAACTGCCCTGCCGGTGATGGTGGTATGGTTACAAGAAATCCTTTTAAAAAATTAAACTATCTTTACTTCTTATACTTTTAAAATGCCCACGTATGTCCTTTTCACTTCCAATGCTGTTTTATGTTTTGATTCTTCTGTTTTGTTTTTATTTTACCTACAAGTCAGTGTCTTTTTTTTTTGTAATAACCTCTAAACATAAATATTTCATTATTAGTTTTGTGATGATTTTACTTATGTCAACAACAATAACAAACTTTCTTGTGACTCTTTTTGGGGATATGTTTAAGTCCAATGTTTGTCTTATCCCTTTTCCCCCCATGAGTGCTTCTAATTAGTCCCTCTTCATTAATAATTAAGCTCAGATTTTCAGGGTATATCATTTTGGGTTGCAGCTTGAGCTTTTTGCTTTTCTTATTGTAATATTCTGCAGGTATTAGAGAGTATGAAATAGACTTGTTATTTGAATTTCTTTCCTTTATATTCAAAGGTCTTTTTCCTGGTTCTTTATAAAATTTGTTATTTGCCATTGTTATTACTTGAGATATGTGTCCTCCCCCCACCATGACAAACTGTGGTTTCTTTTGATTGGTGCTTTGTTTTCTGAATTTTTGTTAGATTAGTTTTATTTTGAAAAGGACACACCGAGATTATTTCTCACTACTATTAGATTAAAATTTCCTTCAAGTCCTTGGATCCTATATCTTTTGGTACATTATTAATAATAACAATAACAGTTAACATTTATATAGTGCTTATTATGCACGAGAAACTGTGCTAAGTCCTTTACAGTTATTAGTTCATTTGATCCTAAACCCTGGGAGGCAGGTGCTGTTATCATCCCCATTTTGTAGATGACAACTGAGGCAAACACAGGTTAAGTGATTTGCCCATGATCACACAGCAAGTAAGTGTTTGAAGTTGGATTGGAGCTCAGTTTTCCATGATTCCAGGCCTAGCACTCTATTTATTGTACCACCAGCTAACTCAAATATTAAGGGGTGGTGTTATTTTTTTGTCTTGCTGCTTTTTATTTTTATGTATTTTATTTATCTCTCCAATAAAATATAAGGTTTTTGAGAGCAAGGACTATTTTTGACTTTGTGTACTCAGCACTTAGCATAGTCCTTAGTAGGTTAATAGGCATTTAATAATTGTTTGATTTGAATTGAACGGGATCTCTCATAGGAGGCTGTAAGTTTTTTGCAAGCAAGGATTATATGTTTTTCTATTTGTATCCCCCATAACACCTTGCACATTGTAGGTGGTCAATAAATATCTGTCAAGTAAGTGAATGAAAAACAAATAATATAGTCTTTCCACCATTTCCTTTTCCTCATCCATACGTAGCTTATATTTTGCTTCCTGGTACTTTTGTGCATTTGATTCTATGCTTTTTGGGGGTATAGGAGCTGGTAGTTCGTTTCCTCAAGCGTGCATCAAGCAATCTGCAACATTCCTTGAGAATGGTGTTGCCCAGCCGGCGATTGGCCCTTCTGGAAAGAAGAAGAATCTTAGCCCACCAACTGAGTGACTTCATCGTCGTCTACAACAAGGTAAGTGGCTCTCCTAATGGATAATGTCCATCCTGGTGTATTGAAACTGGATTTGGTATCAGAATATGGATTCAAATCCCAGCCCTGCTATTGCTTTTGTATCCTTAGGCAATTCATTTTACCTCTTTTGACCTTAATTTCCTCATTTATATAATGCAAAGGTTGAACTAGATCAGTCACTCAATCAATATTTATTAAGGCCTCCTATGTGCCAGGGATTGTGCTAAGCCCTGGGGTTATAAAAAGAGGCAAAAGGCAGTCCCAGCCCTTAAGGAGTTTACAATATAATGAGGGAAATGACATGTAAATAAATATATACAAAGCAAATTATATACAGGATAAGTAGGAAATAAATAATGGAGAGAAGGCACTAAAAATAAGAGGAGATGGAGAAGGCTGCTGAGAAGAAGAGGGAGAACATTCCAGGCGTAAGGGAGAGTCAGAGAAAATGCCCAGAGCGGAGGAATAGATTGTCTTATTTGTGCAACAGCTAGGAGGCCAGTGTCAGTGGACCAGAATGTGTTGGAGAGTAAGGTATAAGGAAATCAGAAAGGTAGTAGGCAGCTAGGTTATGATGGTCTTTGAATGCCAACCAGAGGACATTTATTTGACTCTGGAAGTGACAGGGAACCACTGGAATTTATTCATTTGAAGTAGGTAGGGAGGAGGGGGTGACATGATCAGATTTATGCTTTAGAAAAACGTCTTTGGTGGCTGAATGGAGGATGGACCGGAGTGGGGAGAGACCTGAGGCAGGTCGACCCACAACAGGCATGAGGTGATGAGGGCCTGCACTAGAGTAGTGTCAATGTCGGAGGAGAGAAGGGGCGTGTTTGAGAGATGTTGCAAAAGTGAGATCAACAGACTTTGGCCACAGATTGGATATGGGGGTGTAAGTAAGGTGGATTCTGGTGTGTGTAAGGAGGATTTTGTTGTTCCTTTTTAGATAATAGTTCCAGGATCCTAGATAATTTTTCACACAAATTATGGTTGAAAACATCTCCACCACGCTTGCCTAGTGAGATAGAGGGATGACATAATATATGCCTGTGCTGTGCTAGGTCATGATGATACTGCTAAAGTTAACCTGTGAACTTAAGGTTGGCAAGATGCCTTCTTTGTCTGTTGCACTGGTCAGGAAGTGGGGGAACCCATTTTGGGATTTGGGTAATACATAGAGGAATGCATGTACCTGCCTTGATCAGCCCCGTCAAGGCTTGGGGGGAATCTGTGTTTGCCTCAACTGCCCCTCATTGAGGTTTACAGACCGGTAGGAGTGTGGCTCCTACCATTCTCGCGCACCCCTGCGAGATGTGTGATTAGGGAAGGCTGTAGCAGTTAGAGCTCTCATTTTCAGCAGTTCCTTTTGAGAAGACTAGACTAGAATAAAGCAAGCTTATTTAACCCCTTTGAAGCTGTCTTCCTGTCTGACCAGATCAAAAGTGAACCTGTGCTAGGACACCTGTTAGTGTTAGGAGCTCTCCTGTGTTCTCCTGTCCAACAAATGATGTCACCTGTGTGTTTTCCTTTGAAAGGGGGAGGGTGAGTGGGATAGAGATAGTTGAGGAGTCCAGGATGATTCCTAGGTTGGCAGACGGAGGGTCTGGAAGGATGATGTTAGGAGGGATGATTGAGTTTAGGAGGAAAGATAATGTTTTGGTCATAGTATGTTTAAGATGTCTACTGGATTACACTTTAAGATGTCTGAAAGGTAGTTGGAGATGTGAGATTGGAAGTCATTAGAGAGTCTGGGGCAGAATAGATAGATTGTCAGTATAGAGATGGCAATTAAATCCATGGGAGCTGATGAGATCACCACGTGAAATAGTATAAAGGGAGAAGAGAAGAATGCCCAAGACAGAATCCTGAGAGATACCCATGGTTAGGGGATCTGGAAGAGGATCCAGGAAAAGTGACAGAGAAAGGAGGTCAGATAGGAAAGTGATATCCCAGAAATCTAGAGAGAAGAGAGTAATCAACAGTCTCAAAGGCTGTAGAAATAGGTCAAAGAGAATGAGGATAGAGAAAAGGCCATTGGATTTAGCAGTTAAGAGATCATTAGTCACTTCAGAGAGAGCAGTTTTGAGGTTGGAAGCCAGATTATAAGGGGTTAAGAAGAGAATGAGGGAGAGAAAGTGGAGGCATCCATTGTAGATAGCTTTTTTTCTTGATATATATTGATATTGGTGGGAACGGAAGGATCAAGTGAGAGTTTTTCCAGGACGGGGTAGACATGGGCATGTTTGTAGACAGTAGGGAAGGAGTCAGCAGACAGGAGGAGTTTGAAAATTAGTGAAAGAGTGGGATGACAAGAGAGGGCAATCTGTCAGAATAGAGATGGGATAGAATCACTTGAACAAGTAGAGTGTATAGCTTCGGTAAGGAGTAAGGCTGCACCATCATATGAGACAGGGAAGGAGAAAGTGGCAGAAGACATTTGAGTGATAGGAAATGAGAAAAGGGTGAAGAGAGCTCACAGTGAATGGCTTCCATTTTTTTCTGTAAAAGGTGAGGCAAGGTTTTCAGCTAAGAGAATGGGGGAAGGGGATGACCACAGAGCTCTGCAGTTCCTTCCAGCTCTGAATCTGTGTTTCTGTGATCATAAAATTGAAAGTGATGATCCTTTCACTGTTGGGTTCCTTTCACTACGGTTCATTAGTACTCCAGTTTACTTATTTGAGCTCCTTACAACTCAGCTGTCTCAACTGTGTCACACATTGTAGAACACTGGATAGTGATCTCTTTCCTCTTTTGAGCCACCATTGCACTTAACACTTCTTTTTTTTTTAATAGCATTCAACAACGAACTGCCTCATGTTGTGGTTGTTTTTCTCCAGTTCTTATCTTCTACATTTACTGAAAACATAGTAACCTTAGTCCAGCTGGGCAGAGAGGCATATGTTTATCTCCTAAGCAGTAATCATTGTTTACTAGATGATACCACTGTGCAAAGTAAGACTGTAGTTTAACCCAATTGGGTCATGAGGCTACGTTACTTCATAAGGACCCATTCCCAGGGAGTGTTCCATCCCATAGGCAAAGCCTTCCATTTGGATCAGAATCACCGATTTACCAATCTGGTGGCAATTTTCCTCTGTAATGAGCATTGCCTTAGCCCCAAACCATTTGGGGCTGTGATGTAACTTGGACAACTCTGGAAGCATGTGGATAATCTGTAATGAAATTAATTTGTGTATAGACAATTAGAAATTGAATTTTCTATAATAGATTTGAATACAAATTTGGATCATGAATATAATATCCTCTGTGGCATTGATTCGATTTTCTTCTCTGAAACGTTTTACACACTAACCTTATTTTGCTGTAAATCCCATGAAGTTTGCATTTACTTATAACAAATCTATATAGACTTTTTATTTGTGAGTCTCAAAATCTCTTGAGAAGTAGTGCTGTCACTTTGAAGAAATACTTAAACATAGAAAAGTCAAGTGCCTTTCCCTGAGTTGTACAGTATGTTTGGTAAAACAAACATCTAAGCATGGCATGGCATCCAGGTTGGCCGACTCCTAGTCCTTAGCTCTATCTAGAACTGCTCTTAAAGTGGTTGGTTTTTGATTATAGAATGTATTTGGCTTGCTGGTTTAAGAGGGTCTTCCAGGACCCATCTCTTCTCCAGATCCCTGGATGACCGCAGCATTCAGTGTGCTTAGTGCTGTGTATGACCTTAGAAACCACAACAGCAAAATGCACAAGGCATGATTACAAGGGCCACTATACATACATAGGAAGTGTAAACATAATAATTTCCATTTAAATGAAAACTTTTGCTTAGAAAGCTCAATGTGCTTTATAAAAATGATCTCCTGAGGGGCAGCTAGGTGGCACAATGGATAGAGGACCAGCGCTGAAGTCAGGAGGACCTGAATTCAAATCCAGCCTCAGACCAAATACTTGACATTTACTAGCTGTGTGACCCTGGGCAAGTCACTTAACCCCAATTGCCTTAAAAAAAATGATCTGAGATAATATTCCGAGTTCACAAATGCCAAAAGTACATTACTAGTTTGCCCATAATGATAAAGTAAAAGATTTTGGAGTAAGGGACAGGTCTGTATCCTGTCATCCTGTATCCATCCAAATTCATATCAGTTTCAGTATCCTTCCATCAGTCTGTATCATCAGCATTTTACTGATGCTATGTATGTGTCCTCTAGATTTCTATGCTACTACATTCCTTTTCTCAGGCTATTATTTTATGGCAAAACTAGGGCATTCAGATACAGTAGAGGAGAATATATTTATTTATGTGTTTGTTTGGGGGTGGTGGGAGCATAGGAAACAGAACAAATGGCTGAAAAGAAACCAAAGAAGAAACTTGAAGAAGAAGAGGATGGAGTGAACTCTGAAAACTTTCAGGACTTCATCAGCCATGCAAGGTAGAAGAGAGTCTTAATTACAAGCTATCTTCTCTTCCCCTCATCCCCAATCCCACCCCACCCTAGTGAATTTTCAGTATTTCTTAAACCAGTATTTTCTTTTTTTCTTACTTATGGATCTGAATGAAGGAGAACATGAGTGTGGTCCACTGGAATCTCTCAGAGTCTCAGCCAGTCATATTGCAGTTGTCACAGCTTTGATTTTCAGAGCACTTCTTGGTAGTCAAACGCTGCTGCCAAATCTCCTTCAAAGTGTCTAGCCCTAGAGGTGCTGAGAGTCACCGTGGGGTGATTCAGATGGAGTCATCTTGCATTTACTCAGTCTGATTTCTTTCCCCTTCGCCTGCCATTTCAGGGTGACTTAAGCAACTTTGCCTAAGTTGAATGGGTTAAAGACTTAACAGTTTCTCATCACTCTGAGCAACATGCCTACTTTATATAGAAAATAGGATAAACTGAGAAGTCCCTTATGCTCAAGCTTATCTTTTAGGAATTTCAAATCCCCACGTTTCGTTCTCTATCCTGGCGCAACCAGTCAGGCCATGACTGTTATATGTTATCTGTACATTTCTGCTTATTAAGGTAGCATAGCCAGTTTATTTTAAACAGTTAACCACCAAGCATTTAATAAATACCTACTGTATGCCAGGCAGTATGTTATGTATGTCCCAAGGATACAAAGGCAGAAGGAGAAGCAGCTCATATCCTCAAAGAGCTTACACGAAAAAAAAATAATAATAATCCAGTGTGAGACTCACACTGCATTATACCCACACATTTTGCCTTGTGCAAAAATGGAAAATTTGCAAAAATAGTTAAATCTAAAGATCAGAATAATCCTATGGGTTGTCTCTCAACCATCTGAATCCTAGTGGACAGAAAAACCTTGACCATTTGAAAATAATTCGTATCTAGACTTCCATCACTAAAACATCGTCAAATAGCCCTAAGTGTCCCCCTGTATGATGTTATAACTCATTCTATGGGTATAAATTTAGCCTTCATACTAAAAAGGTTAAACACATCAAACAAAAAGCATTTTGGCAATTGTTTAGCTGACACTTCATGGGCCTGAAATGATGAACAATGCTAGAATGGTATTGAGACAAATACAAAATAGTATTGAGAAGGAAACATTTGCCATATTAATCTTAAAGAAATAGAGAAGAAATATCTAATTCTGTGGTTGAAGAATGACTACTGTTAGTAAATAGTAAAATTCTGAATTTAGTTTCTTTCAGGGATATATTAAGTCAGATAAATATATAAAACTATTTAGCTGGGGTTCACAGTCATCTGTCTTCTTGATAAAGGATCACATAGGGACTTCAGATTCTATATCAAAACAAGTAAATGTGTTCCACTTGCTGACTGGATGATTCAGCGTTTAATTGCTGGGAAGTAAAGGGAATCTTCACTTACCTTATGTTAGTTGTGAACGTTACTTGGACCATTAAGTCATTACCTTAAGGAAGTTCACTTCTGAGAAAAATCTTTGAGTTTACTCTACAGTGCTTCCACATTCCTAGTGCAAAATGATTACTCAGATTGTATTTCAGATACAAGATCCAACCTCATAAGTTTTTTGCCCTCTTTATCTTCAAATAACAATAATGACAATATAGTAACACCCCACTGATCTAAAGGATGTTTTATCCATTAACCTCAATTATATCCATAATATAATCAAAGACAGTAAGGAAGCTCAGTAGAGCTCCAGACTGCCCAGAGACCAGCTGGGTCTTGGAGCTACAGCTCCACCCACACATTGCTCAGAAAGCCCTTCAGGGTCTTTTTCAGAGTCTACTCCTAGACCCTGCCCTAGCAAGTTTGATGATTTGGTTTCTCAGTCCTTAAACGATTAGAAGCAGAAAAAGAGAAAAGCAAGTGGGATAGAACCTCACTTGTACGGAAAAACGTATGTATGATAGCTTATTCCTTGATAATGCTGAATAAGGGAAGTGTTAATAATTATGGCTGACATTTACATAGCATTTTAAGTTTTGCAGTGTGTCACATTGTTTGTCTCACTTAAGCTTCACAACAACTTTTTTGAGTAGGTATTAGTGGTGGTGTTATTCCCACATTTCTGGAAACTGCGTCTCATAAAAGGTAAGTGCTAAAGTGTCAGAGGACAGATTTGAACCCTGGTCTTTTTCACTATATATTCAGTTTGATGACATCCATTACCTTATAGTGCCTCTAATGTTACTGTATTTTGTATTGGTATAGTAGTTTATACTTTTTCAAGATGCTTTTCCCATATATCTTCTCATTAGATCTTCCGTTTACAGAGATATTTCATATATGCAAGCATACTTACCCCTTTCCCCATTTCCTCTTTAGGAGAATATTAAGAAATTATATTAGAACAGTACTTTAGTCTGAAGGCATTGATCTAATCTGAACAAGAAACTTTAAAAATCCTTCTTTCGATTCTGAAATAATGTCCTGCAAGGAAATAATTTTTCATCATTCTTATGGAAGAACTAACTAATTTCTTAAGGGAGAGGCTTGATCAGTAGGAAGGGAATCATCTCTGAAAGCTATTAGGGTAATGATCTGAATAAGAGCAAGAACTCTTGATTAATTCAGTTAACAGAAGTGTCTCTTAAGTTTGCTTTTGACTATTTTGAAAGAAAACTCCTTAGAGGGAGTGGTTAAAGACTGATGGAATGGTTTTAGTGAAATGATTCTCCAGGGGAGCACCAAAAAATAATTAACTGGTTTTTTTTGTTTGATGTATCAAAAACTGTTGCCCAAACTTTGTGCCCTTGTTGAATCATAACTATGGAATTCTTAAACTATAAATTGTAAAGAGAAAATGGCTTGGATCAAACATTTTCAAAAGCAGAGTGGATCTTTGTCCCTTTGGATTTTTTGCTCTTTAAGCAGAGATGCTTAAAATTTAATTAATAAACCTGTTCCTGACAGACTTGTCTCTAAAAAGGAGAGTATTTAGTTTTTCTTCCACACATTTTATGCCTTTTATTTTTCTCCATATTTGTAACATCATATGATTTTGTTGGTTCCAGGTATATTTTCCAAAGCACAATCTTCTTCTGATTTGTTTCTGCTTATTTTAGTGAGGCTGAACTGGAGGAGGTTTTGACTTTTTATACCCAAAAAAACAAGTCTGCAAGTGTCTTTCTGGGAACTAATTCCAAAGCCACCAAGAACAGCAGCAGTTATTCTGATAGTGGGGCAAAAGGTGGTAAGTATTTTGGTTAATGCTGATGGTGAAGCTCAAGGGAAAGAATGTAGATAGGAAAATTCGGCCAAGAATGATCTTCTAACAGACCAGACAGAGCAAGGAAATAGTCATTGTCCTATATTAATAAGAAAAGGTACTGAATTTGACTTAAGCTTCACTTTTTTTTCTCCCATATCTCACTTGTATAACCTAGAAAGTAGTCTGTTATGTCAGTTTTTATTTTTCACTGTATACGTATGCTTTTTTCCCAGTCATCTCATTTTAGTAGTATGACCTGTGTAAAATTATGACATAAGGCCCACATATTATTTCTTCGTGATAGTTATAGTGGAGTGATTTACAGAGAGAGAAGGCTCCTGTAAGAGCATTGGGAAAATGTTCTGAAGGCATAAAGGTCTTTCTGGTGGTGAGGGAATAGAGTGATGGCAGCTCTGAGAGTAGTGGTGTTTGGGTGAGATTCATAAAGGGGCATTTCCCATGCAGTAGTGGAGGAAGAGTTTAGGTGGCAGCCTCCATCATTTGTAAACCCCATCAGTTTGTAACCATGAGTATTCATAAGTTCAGGAACTACCTCTTCATTAAAAAGATAAATGTCTTTGTAAACTACTTCTATCTTGAGGCTGGTTTTTTTTTTGTGAAATGAATTGACTATAGGTGAGAGAGACTTAGCATAATAGGCAATTGTATAAGCTGCCACACCCCATAGATATTAGAAGTTAGGTCCTTCTTTAACCTTAGCTTAGAAGATAAGGGCCAACTCAAACACGAAGATTTGGCTTTGGATACCTTTAGGCCTAGGTATCCCCAGAAAAGGATTTCTTAACCTTTTTTGTGTTGTGGCCCCCTTGGCAGTCTACTGAAGCCCATCGACCCTTTTCAGAATAATATTTTTAAGTACATAAAATAAAATGCATAGGATTACAAAGAAAACCAGCTATATTTAAATATAGTTATCAAAATATTAAGAAAATAAGTGCACAGATCCCTGGTTAAGAACCCTTGCCCTAAGGTATTGCAAATTATTGTGGGTGAATATGTTGCTTTAAAAACAAAAGAGTTTGAGACAGTATTACCATTTAATTTAATCCAGTAAGTGTTTATTAAGCAATGTTCTATGTGCTAGGTACTAGAGAGGCAAAGGTGAAAGAAAAGTTTCTGTTCTCAAGGAATTTCCAATTTAATAAGGGACGAAGAGGTACACATATTTATGTACATGTTTATCTTGCAAAAATTAGTGATTTAGGCAAAATACTGTAAGATACTTGAGTAGGAAGAGAGCACTTTTACTTGTAAGAGTCAAGGAGGTCATCATGGAAGAGGTAGTACTTGAACTAGAACGAGAATAATTTCACCAGGAAATGTGAAGGAAATGTATCCCTGGCATAGATAATGGTTTTCCTAAATCCTAGAGGTAGGGCAGGGTAGGATAGGGCTTAGGAACAGCTAATAGTCTTATTTGGTCAATAAAGGTGACTTCATCTGCCATATTTCAATGACATTAATCAATTTGAAATAAGTATTCTTTCGTTTCTTTGTTAACATATGAACCCAGCCACCTGAGAAAATGACACTGATTTCCCATTATGTTATATAGGGCTATTCTGACATGGTAAGGAAACACCACAATTCTATGTAAGAGATGAGAATTCTTTTTCTGACTAACTTGTTTTGTAATACTTTACAATTGATGCAGTCTTGTTCTGCCTTAGTTATTTCTTTATGCGAAATGGATATAGTGTTTGTGATTTTATAACTCAGCAGAATTATCTAAATTCTCAAAATTGCATATATCAGACCATCCTGAGACAGTGGAAGAAGTAAGAATCAAGCAGCCCAAACATCAGCAGGGAGCAGAACTTCATTCTGACAAGTTATCACGTAAGTCTTTTCTAAAGCAGGACAGTTCAACAGTTATTAAGCTTGTACTCTCCACAGGTCACTGTGATACATCCCTGGGGATATGAAAAACGACAATGCATGTCCTCAAAGAACTTACAGGCTACTAGTTGGAATATGACAGATACACAAATAATTGTAATGTAAGACACAATGAGATTGGAGGCAAAGAGGGGATCCAGGAAAGGCATGAGAAGAAATTTGAGAGGAGAGAAATCATTTTCATCCAGGAAGATCAGAGTGAAGGCCATCGTGGAGGAGATTGCATCTGGGATGGATCTTGAAGAAAGATAAGAATTTCAGCAGGCTGGAATAAAGAGGGAGTATGTTTTGAGGAAGAGAAATAGTCTGAATGTTGAGAAACAAGACTGTAGTATAGTAATTATAAAGAGGAATAGTGTGAAATGAGGCTGCAGAGGTATAGTAGAGCCCGACTCTTGATGTTAAATACTGCAACAATGACTTTTTCATTTTATACCAATGATGGGGAGCACTTGAGGGTTTTTGAACAGAAGAATGACATGGTCACAACCTATGTATTTAGGAAATTATTTTGCCAGCTTTGTGAAGGTTGAGTTGGAGAGGGGAGAAACTGGAGGCAGAGAGAGAATCTTCCATTAGAACAGATGAGCTTGAACAAACTCAAAAGGGACTGACTGTGTAGAGAGGAGGGGAGGGGTGGAAATTACACCAGGGAGGCAGAATTGATGGGATTTGATGTTACAGGATGTTAGAGATAAGGAAAGGAAAGAGTCTAAAATAATTCCATAGTTTTAAGCCTTCCTAAGTATCAGGACAAAAATTTCTGTGTTATCAACAGAAATAATAAAAGTGGAAGGAGGACAGGTTTAGGGGAGGAAGATTATGGTTTGTTTTGGACACATTGACTTTGAGGTATTAGTTGAATATCCAGGTGAAAATGTTCAGAAAATTGTTGGAAATGCTGGACAGGAAATCAGATATGATCTGTAAGGGGGAGAGTGTGAAGAAAGAACCTGGTCCAGTATAGAGTTTTGAAATATAGTCTCACATAAAAGGCAGGGAAATGATGAGAAAAGAGGAGACTAAAAGAAATGTTGGGAAAGAGGGAATATAACCAGGAGAAAAAGCAGTGACGTGGAAAACAAAAGACAAAAGAGGACTCAGAATGATAACCATTTCAGATGCTGCAGAAAGGTCAAAGTGGATGACAACTAAGAAAAAGTCATTGGTTTTGGCAATTAAGTTATCATTGGTGACCTTGAAGAAAGCAGTTATGTAGAATGGAGGGGAAGGAGGACAATTTACAAGGACTTGAGGATAGATGGTGAGGTAGACTTAAGCATAGATTACTCTTTCTAGACAGTGGTGAAAGAGAAGATATTTAGCACAGTAAGTGGAGGATATAGAAGGATCAAGGGATAGTTTTTGAGGATAGGAGGGAACTGGGCAGATTCATAGCCACAGGAGAAAGCCAGCAGAGAGAGGGAGATAAAAGATGAGAGTGGGAATCATCAGTAGAGTCAGACCCAGGAGAAAACTTTACTGAATCAATCAGTAAACATTTATTAAGTACCTCCTATGTGCCAAGCCTTGGCCCTGGAGACACAAAAAGAAAAGTCAAATAGTGTCTGGCCTCGAGTAGTTCATGTTCTAGTGGAGGATACATTACGTATATACAAAACATACAAAGATACAAGAAAATGTTGGGGACGGGGGAGGAAGTGGTGTCTGGGAGATCAAGAAAGACCTCATCCAGGAGGTGTCACTTGAACTGTGTTTTGAGGGAAATGGGGAGAGGAAGGAATACAGTCCAGGAAGGAACACAGCTTGTTCAGAGGCACGGAGGTAGGGGCTGGACAAGACAGCAGAGAGGCTTGTTTGGCTACATGTATTGAATTGAATGAAGTCAACGAAGAGATGGAGTGATGTGGAAAAAGTCTGAAAAGGTAGATTGGCATTAGATTGTGTCAGATGTTAAATGCCAGACAAGATTGTAATTGATCATAGAGGCAACAAGAAACTATTGGAACTTTTAGAGTAGGGAGTGACATGGTCAGGCCTGTGCTTTAGGAATATAATTTTGGCAGTTTTGTGGAGCATGGTTTGAAGAGGGTGAAAGACTGGAGGCAGGGAGCCTTGGAGACTATTGCAGCAGTCCAATCAATAGTCCAAGGGCCTGAATCGGGCTGATAGCTATGTAAGTAGAGAAAAGAAGACAGATGTAAGTGAATACTGTGGAAGTTGTGTTGATAAGACTTTTCATGAGATCAAACACACAAAATAATTTTCTCTGTGGTAAGGAGGGAAGGAAGAATGGGTGATTAAATAGAGAAGTTTTGAGGGAAGTTAGGGGAGGTGTGATAGGTGACCTCAAACTCTTCAGTAAAGTAGAGGCATGTTTGCCGAGAGAGAGAGTGGGAGTGGTACTGAAGTTTAAAGAGAGCAGAAGTTTTGGACAGATTTAATATTGTAAAAGAAATCCCTAGAAAGTAGTAAGATAGCTTTGAATCAGAAATAAATACAAATCACAAGATATTAAAGAGATGATGCTGAGAGAAATGGTATTACCCTCTGAAAGTGCTCCTTTCTCTTCCAAATCCTTTTTTTTCCATTAATAATCTTTTTCTCATCCAGAGAGTTTTTTAAATTCTGTTTTTAGTTAAAAATCCATTGGAACTCGAGTCACTTTCTGCATTTTCCATGAGGATGAGGGGTGGAGAGGAAAGGGTGAATGAAGTGAAGCAAGACAGTAATAGTCTACCTCTCCTGGAAACTTTACCCTAATTGTCAAGCATTACAAAAGTTTGCCCAGTCTACTTTTTGAAGGTAACCAATCTTTGAGTCTTAGTGGGGATTAAAAACAAACTCTCATCTTTTGTTCCATTTGCCAAGTGTAGTAATCAAGGTCATCTTTGATAGACAAAACTCCTTAAATTCTTGAAGAACACAAATTGGAATCTACTTTTTTGAGACCTGCCTCAGGCAAAAGTGGCTTTGTTTTCAATTTTTCTCTGTCTGTATAGTGTTGTTTTATTACCCATTCTCCTTGAAATAGTCTGATTCTTTTTAATTCTTTTAACAGGATTTACCACATCAACAGAAAAAGAGAGTAAATTCCCCTATAGCACTTCCCTTTGTCCATCCTCTGGTCCTAGTGCTATTCTTCAGAAAATTCCCAACTCCCATTTGACATCTCTGATTTCATCCTCTGACCTCACACCAGTACCTAGTCATCACTCTGCTTTTTCCCAAGTTCCTCCAGTTATCTCCAATGTGGCTCATCAGCCAGCTGCTTTAGAGAACGCAACCCCTGATAACTGTTCTCCCTCCCCACATTCGGTGTCACATCGTGTCCCTAGTCCAGCTGTACTGCCACGCTGTCGGTCTGGCAGTTACACCATTGGCCCCTTCTCCTCATTTCAAAGTGCTGCGCAGATATATAGCCAGAAACTGTCCCGGCCCTCCTCAGCTAAAGCAGGTGAGTGTAACTATTTGGGCAGTAAAGTTTTTGATTCTGAACTGCTTTTTTTTGTTTTGTTTGTTTTTATACTTGAAGTATGTGTTACTATTTTAGGATATCTCTAAACTCATAACTTACTAATTTAGACACAATTAGCAAATTATTCCTAATGTACCCGTAGATACTATTCTTGTTTTAAAATGAGAATTATTCTTGAATTTAGCTAATGTGATCTTATATTTGGAGTTGAATCTTTAAAAGACATGCCTGCTAATTGAGAGATTCCCTGGACTATTGGACAGATCAGGATTAAAACACATAGGGAGTGGAATGGGGATTAATTGAGTATTCATCATTAGTTTCTTCAGCTTCCTATTCTGTGAAGTAAAACTTTGGCATAATGTATCCCTAGTAACTTCATTTCCAAATTTATGTGAAAAAAAGTACATTATTTTTTCTTGATTCATTAAGGTATGAAAGGATCAAAAAGTCTCATTTTATAGATGAAGAATGTAAGACAGCTTCATTGTTTCACACTAGCTATAAACTGTGGTAAGAACATAAAAATTGCCAGGTGGGAAGAGACCTGTGAACTGACCAGCTGTTTATTCCATTTGTGACACTGGCTTCAAGAAAAGGGAAGAAGGAAAAAAGACTTAATGTTAATGCAGGTGCACATTATAAATGGGTTAAAAGGGATCTTTCTTAGGAAGGAAATTTGAAGTAGATTGAGTTTGTCGAAGTTGAGGAAAGTATGCCCTTTTAAATCATTAAAATTTTCATGGCACATGTAAAATAGCATCTTCTTTTTTATTGTATGTAAAAACTGACACAGACCCAAATGTTCAATAAAGGCTCAGCTTGGTAGTGAAAACTTAATCAAAGAGAGAAAATTAAAGCAGTTCTAAAAGGAAAGGCCAATGTTCCAGAATATAAGATAATGAGTATGGTTCTGAGTGTACTCAACTATGTTTTTTTCCCTTTTCCCATTTGGAGCGTCTTAGGAAAACTATGGATATGATGGTAGTGGGTACCTTAGAAATACCAGGCTAAACAAATACTGAAAAATAAAGTGGTTTGCTTCAGCTTTAAACAAACAAACAAGAAATGTAAGTAAAATTGCATGAACAAACATCAAGGACATGATTTTTATCATTGTTCGTAAATCATAGAATCGGTCGCTACCTTATCAACTACTGTTTTTTTGGTCACATAATGTTAGAGCTACAAGTAACCTGAGAAAGCATTTCTTAATCCAGCCAACCCCTAAACATACATAGAAAGCAGTGATTGGTTAAACTTTCTAAGTGAAGCCATGCCAAGTGATACAGTTTAAGAACTTAGCTTCTTTATGTGACACAGAGTCTTCTGAGATGTTTTATGTGTGCATGTAAAGTGTCTTCACCTGTTGTTGTTTGAATTGTAAACAGAGATCCAGAATTTGGGGGAAAAAAATCTGTTTGCTTGATACGTTCTTGGCCATTGTTCTGACTGCTTGTATGGCTTCTCAGCCATGGGGATGAAACGTCCTTGTCGTTCTTTATTTTAGCAGGTACATGCCATCCAAGCAGACACCAGGCAGGCTTAGCCAGGACACCCAAGGATGGAGATGATAGCCCCGCCTTAGGCAAACGCTGCAACCAAAGCGCGGTCGCAGCCGAGCTGCAGCGGCTGGCTGAGAAACGAGCAGCACGGCAGTATTCCCCATCCAGTCACATCAGCCTTCTCACTCAGCAGGTAGGTGCAGCATGCTGCAGAAGACCAATGTAGGTCTTAAGACGTTTTGGTGACAGGATCTTCTTTCTGGAAAAGGTACACAATAAGTTTCCTTCCTTTTCTCTGTTTGTGGTGATGGGAGGTGAGGTGCTTAATGGTTGCACACTTAAATTATAAAATTATCTGATTAACTTTCCTTTCAGTTTCAGGGTTTGACTTTCTATAATATATGGTTTGAATTTAGATATGCTGCTGGTTGAGATATACCTCTTTTGTAGTTTAATAATGTAATTGTCCTGCTGCGATTAAACTTTTGAAGGATTTCCAAAATTTTTCATATTTGTTGAATTTTCTAGTATGTGTGGGTGGATCACTAAGGATGACCGCTTCCACCCTTGAAAATCTTTATATATGGAATGTCTGTAACATAATTTCATCCAGCAGCTTTGCATTTGGTTATATTAACCAGCAAATCGGCACTATGAAGTCAGATGAAACTTTCAAGAACTTCGTGGGATTTTCTTTGTTCTCAGTGCTGTTAATTCCCAAGATACTTAGATGGAAGGAGAATTCATATTTCCTCTCCTGTTCATTTATTTAGGGCATTTCATGAGGCAGAGTGAGTTCTTTTAGAATGAAGCACTCAACCCATCATGGGGAACATATGTTCATTGCTTTGTAGAGTACTTAACACATCAAAGACTCTCAATAAGTGTTCAATAAAATCAATTTAACTTATACATAAGACAAAAATTAACTCTGTCATTGAAACAAGATGCTGTTTGAATAAAGGAGGTCTTTCTTAATGGTAAAGGACATCCTGGTCCTTTGGGAAGTGTTGCCACAATTCATAAGAATTCATAACTGATCAAAGTTGCCACCTCACACTATCCTTACTTGGTGGTATCACAGATTACATAATGATGTTCAAAGCTAGAATAAAAGAGAAGCAGATAGGTGCCGCCTAGTGGTAGGAAGGTTGACCCTGAGTTCTTGAAAGCTGTGCCAGTGGAACATAAACTCTGGCAGGTTCCATGTGTTGGATGGAGTCAGCTGTGTGAGTACCAACTTATCTAAATATGGAGGCTTATTACCAGTAAATTATCCACTATGTCAGTAATTCTTTGGCTGTGGAAAACCCCGTTCAAAAAATGATTCTTGGTGCTCCCTTGGCAATGTCGTGCTTCACTGTACTAAAATGTAGACTAAAAGCTAGAAAAGTGCCTCTTTTGTATTTGTTCAGTTGTTTCAAGTCATGGCTTAATTCTGCTTCTTTGACTTCATTAAAAAAAAATCCCCCCAAACACTTCTTTTGGGGTGGATATTTTAATGCTGAATGACAGTGCTCGGCTTTTACAGGCTCATCTGGGCTCCTACTGACAGTGGTTTTGGAATAACACTGAACTTTTAAAATTGATTTTGTTTTCCCCCCTTCAAAACTTTTTCAGCCCAGGAATCTTAAGACTACTTCCCTACCTCTTCCTCCAGTACCTTCTGAAGCACCCAAAACCTCCATCTCCGGATCTCCCTGTCCCATTGGTTTTCCTTCTTGGAACTTCCATTTGAGGATGTGCTTACTTTTTTTGTTCCATTGAAGACCAGCCTTAACCCCAAATTACTGTGGCTCTGATTGACTGGCCAACAATAGGTCCTAAGCCAAGCCCTACGTAGTCATTGTTGGGGCGCTGATTGGCTCAGAATGAATGTAAATAGGAGTTGTTTCTGTTTTGGCCAGAAACCCTAAGGGTCTTCCCTCCTAGATCGATTTTTATTTAATTTAATTTTTAATTTGTTAATTTTTGACTAGGTAAAGAGGCCATTCTCTGCCTCAATTCTTATTAAACTAAACCTTAATCACTGAATGGGCATTGCCTCAATCAAACTGAGACCTGTTAAAGACCTTAGCTTGAAATTGCATGCTGGCCATCTCCAGTTGTCCGTCCTCATCTATATTTGGCCACTGGATGCAGATGGCTGTGGAAGAGAAAGTGAGGCTGGTGACTTTTGCACAGCCCTCCCTCACTTAAATTCGTTTCGTTTGCATGTCATGGCATCACCTTCCTGATGTCATGGTCCTCTTTGAGAACAAAGGCCAAACTACAACTACTTCTTTGGACTAAAAATAATATGCCCTCCTACCAATTGGTGAGATGGTAGAATGAGTATGAAAGATGGAGCTTTCCTTAACTTCCAGGCCTATGAGCTATCCATCTAGCACAGCTGCCTCTGGAACAGCTGGATGGCAGAAGCAGAGGAAGAGGCCTAATTGAGATGAATCATGAGAAGTCTGTGATAGGAAGCACAAGTTAACAGCAAATGTGGTAATGGGATTTGAGGAGGTAATATGAAATAGGTAATAGTGGAAATTATTATAAAAATTATTGTAAAAATATGATGATAACAGGGGGAAAAGCTTAAGCCACCGGAAAGAGGAAGGGCAGAAGGTGAGATGAGAATACATGTGATATTCACATGAGAAGGCAAGTGATATTCATACACACACACACACACACACACACACACACACACATTTTTGTGGGGGCATGAAGCCACTGTAAGACTGTAAGTAAGAATAGCTCCAATTTGTAAATGAGCATATTAGAGTTCCAAAAAATTACATTATCTGTCTGATATCCTATCACTATTCAATGACAGTCATTATTAGAGCTATGTATTTTACTCCTGTGCTAAGTTTATGAAGTCTTAACATGGAATAAGCCACCATGCCTAGAGAGAAATAGCTTAATCCTGTAGTAATCCAAGGTGAGTTAAATAGATTCTCTTTTAAATATGAAATTTGAGATATTCTGTTATCCTTCTTCCTCACATACGTAGTGCCAGAAATTAAGTGTAGCTTCAGTATCACTGAATGAATTGCTCATTAGGCTTCTATTCTTATGGATTTGACTGAGCCATTAGGTTGTCAACTAGATTTTACCACTCATGAGAAGCATGTGTTCACTCCTTTGTAGATCACTTAACCCATCAAAGACTCTCAATGAGTATTAAATAAAATCAAATTATATTAGAAAAGGAGTCCAGAGAAAATCTAGTATTCCCAACAGTAGAATCTTCTTAGTTTCCTGATCCCCTGCCTTCATTTAGAAATGTTTGCCTACCATCATTCAATTGTGTCCGGTGTGTATTAATACTACTGTAACACCTTAATATAAATCTTGGCATACTAGCCAATTTCCTTCGAGATCATCATGTTTATAAGAGATTTGTCTTCTTTCCGAATGAACAGGAAAATGATGTTGCGATGTGAAAAAGGAGAGTGAGAGGCAAGCCGTAGGAGCATAGACCCTCTCTTCGGGCTACCCGCGTTAGATTTTTAGGACCTTGCTGTGTTAGTCAAAGCTTTCACTATTCTAGCCAAGATTTATAGTTAAAGCAATAACAAAACCTTTGTTAATTAAAAGAAATAGAATGGATATAGCAACTGAGTAGCTATTTTCAAAAAATTATTTTTCATCAGTAATTTCAAACTCTTGTCAGTTTAACTTTCACCAAAGTTGCTTATGGGGAGCAAATGGTTTTTTTGAATGTCACTCATTCTTTTCCTTGTTCAACCTCTGGTGAAAGTGATAAGTAACATCTACACAAGGGGGGAAAAGAGTCAAGAAAATCTAAAGACTAGGTGTAGACCTTGGAACATTCAAAGTTGGCCATTCATTTCACAGAGTGCTTGTGAAGTGCCTGTTGTGTTCAGAGTCTGGCGTTAGGTGCTGCCTGGGTCACAGAGGGCTCATGGAGCAAGTGGCTATGACTCATACAAAAATAACTGTGATACAAAAAAACATTTGTGCTGAAGATATGCAGAAGCAAAATACTGTGAAGAGAGATAAAACTGATGGCATAGGGTGAGGGGAGCGGTCTAGGAAGACCCCATAGAGGATGTGGTATATGATTTGACCTTTATAGGATATGTTCAACAAGGAGAGGATGAGTATAATAGGGAAAAGAGGAGGCCATTTTAGGGACAAGGAACGATTTGAGCAAAAGCAGGAAAGGAGAAAAGTGGAAGGGATAGAAGGAGGATAATGAATACTTCAGTTTAGCTGGAGTGTTCATTATGTGAAAGAGGATTCTCTTCCCTATACATAACAGAGCTTGAGTATGGGATGAACCTGGCCAAGTAAGATGGTACCATATTATTGAGGGCCTTTAATGATAAGCTAAAGCATTTGAATTTTACTTTATAAGCAGTCAGGATCAATTCACAGACATTGAACAGAAAAAACGTATGATGCGATCAGATCTATGTTATTTCTAAGAAAGATCATTCTGACATTGTGTTTGCATGAAGAAGGAAAGAGAGGGAAGGCAAGAAGAACTGTTGGGGAAAATGATGACCTGGTACTGTGGTGATGGCAGTGGGAATAAAGAAGAGGTGACCGTTCTAAGAATTACCATGGTAGAGTTATGCTGGTGCTGCTGATACAAAAATGAAGTCAGAAAAAGGAAGAAAAGTTACGGAGGAAAAGAGTAAGATCTGTTTTTAACATACTTAGTTTGAGGTTCTGATGAGACCTCCAAGGAGGTTGGTTCTGTGAACCCTTTCATATAGGGATGTAGAACTTGATCAGAATCGTCTTTATAGAGGAAATAAATGAGACTGCCAAGAAAATTAACATAGAAAGAAAAGGGTATATGAGGAGCTAAGAAAGGAGATGAAGACAAAAATGACTAGAAAGGAGAACCAAGACACTGGTATCTCTCCAAAACAGAGGGGTAATCAATAGTGTCAGATACTACAAAAACATTCAGGAAGAAAAAGACCAACTGGATTTGTCAGTTACTATATCATTATTGTGAAAAACTACTCTCAGAGTTTCTCCCCTAGGCCCCCCCAAAAAAAATTCTTCAGAAGGATATTACTGATAATGAAATTGCATTGGAAGCTGCTCAGGCTTGGGTGGAGACAGATTCTTTTGCCTAGATAGCCCAAGGCTGTCAGTGGTCTGGTATGGTTGGGGGGGGGGGTGATCTGATAGAACAGATATTTCCTTTGTCAGGAG